GAATTATTCCCAATGTCTGTGATAACAGACATACATATACAATATCGACTACAACTTTAAAGTCGATAAGCTTTGCAGCTCCGGAGTCATCGAAGAGGCGAGATCCAGGTCGAGGCGTGGAATCGCGAGGGAAAAGCGCTTGCCAGTTCTAGTATGGCGCCCCGGGTTTGCTGATCTCGCGAGGATGCTTAAGAAAAGGAACCGATTTGGTCACTCGAGTGACTCCGTCGGCGACCATCTTTGCCGTCACGGCGGTGGTGCCATCGAGAGTTCGAATTATCTCCGGGACGCTGGCAATTTGAAGGGCAACCAGATTCGATGCTGGTTCTAGTTTGATTCCAGATTCCCTCCGTACGGCGATGGAATCTAGAAGCTCTTTCCGAGCGAGTTCATCCTTTACTGCTAGTGCAAAGCCGGTCTTTACCCGCTGAACCAACGTGATGTTGTTGGCTGCGGAACCGAGAGCCTCTGAGACAACTGATCTTACGCCAGCTGGTGAAAGGAGTCAGTGGGGTTGGTCTTGTGCGAGGCGTAGAAACAGTCGTGTGTCGACCGCTGTCCTCGTATTGGCTGCTTTTGTCGTTGATGGCCGGGTGCTGTGGCCAACGCCTGTTCGGGCTACATTCGCCCAAGTTGTGTTTTTGGCCGGAGCCTGGGTTGTAGAACGGTTAGGTACCCTGGTTTCAAGAGCCCTCGGCGGAGGAGTGTTGCTGGGGCGGACAGGGAGAGTTGATGAAGTGCTCCCTGGGCCTGATTGTACGAACTGGCCAATGGCCGCTCGAAGGTAGACTTTGATACCGTCTACAAACTCTTTTTTGTCGCCAATCGAGAGAGGCGAGAGTGCTGTTTCAACACTGCTTATTGCAGTGGAACAGATTGCTAGACGGGCTTTTATTTGCGTCGTGCGACGCTTTTCAGCCTCCATCACTAATTGTAGCTCCGGAGGATATTCCGGTGCTGATCTCGAAGCTGTGCCTTTGGAAGGTGGCACAGCGAATTTTCTTAAAGAATTTTCTGCGTGTTCTGTCACCTTCTCTCGGACGACTTCCTTTTCTTTCCTTGAGGAGCTTGCTTCTGGTGCAAGCTCGATAGGAATTTTGGTTTCGGGACCAATTTTTGCTGATCTGACGGGCTCAGAATCAGTCATCTCTTTGTCGGGAAGGTTTGAGGACTTTCCATCGATGAAGGCCTCACTCGCAAACATGCTTGAAAGTTTTTGAGTGGGGCCTGGTGTTTTTGCGGGAACCGTCGGGCGGACTCTCGCGTTGTCCAACATTGCGTTTGGGAGCTTTTTTCGAACAGGTAGTATGATAAAGATGCCAGCGACTCGATCACAATGATTTGATAGAATGCGACGAGCGCGAGATGGGGGGAGAGGGGGAATAAGGGAAGATTAGAAATTTCGAATTTCAAAAAATTGTGTATATGCGTGTGTCTGTTGTACTACTTAAGTCATAGACTATCTAGCACGTTGCGTTCCTTTCTGACCCAGACCACACCTTGTAAAGTGCTTATTGCCTCTAATGTTTCTTGAAAGATCATTGATATATTACCCTTGATGAATAGCTATTCAGCTCAGTGCTTACCCGTGGAATCCAGCCACCTTTTCCACGGAACGATCTACCCAAAGAAAATAAAAATGGTACCTATGGAAACTGTGTGCGCGGGAAAAAGTCTCAAAAAACTTGAAGCCCCAGCCAGGCGAGGCCTAGACACCGGAACCATATGAGGTGCGCATATTCATCTACATCTCCCTCCTTTGTAACAGTCGAGGCCGACTTGATCCAATCCACCATCTCTGTATCGTGTGCTGGGTACGCTCCGGAAACTCATTGGATGGCTTTTCCTCCATGACCGAGGGTTGGTGATGAGAAGGGCTTCGACCCTAACATCTGATCTGATCGTGGTTAGCTTCATGATAATGGTGATAGGGGAATGTGTAGAGAGATGAAGACGATAAAGACGGCGAAAGCGATTGGGAGTCCTCATTGAAGTGAGGACTTTTTTACTCAATCTCGGCTCTGCAGACTCTACAGTGAGAGCTGGAGGTTCGTACGTGACACCACTAACAGGTGTTGAAAATAGTCCCCCAAGGATAAAATTATATACTGGCGAAAAGATAGGAAGATGAATCCATACAAATATTCAGAAAGTTACAGAAGATATATATATATGTCTACAGGAAATTTTATTTATCACCTACACCAATTGCCTACTATTATAGCCTGCAGGTATTAGTTGGATAGAATACAGGTTAGTGTCGACATTAAATTTCTTCGAAAAAGCTGGAATTTTGAGGCCATTTACTAAAGACGATTGCCCCTCCAGGAGAGCCTAGAATCCACGGAATTTTCGATGTTAGATATTTTGTTCCGCCAGGGAGGCGGGCTCGGATTCGAGCGAGCCGGCAAAAGAAGAAGTAATTAGGAGACTTTTCATGCCTGCAAGCGTAGCTTGGTAGAGCGTCCGAGTGGTGAAAACGGCAGTGGTATTCAGTAAATCCATGCGGCCTGAAGGAGATGTATGGAGATGAGCAAGAATGTAGTAATCGAAGCTCTTTAGTTTGTACTAATTGTCAGTTTGTGCTATCTTTTGGGAGTATTTTTGGCCCAGTATCTATCTATGGAGGTTTACGTCGTGGCTTAATATCTCTCTTCGCTCAGGAGATAGATTAAGGTAGGGGGGCGCAAAAGCTTTGGAGGCCTGTTTAGCCAGCGCTTCCACTCTTTCGATTCCAGGTAGACTGGCATGTGGTGGACGATATCGTAACCTGACATTGCCTAGTCCAGCGAAATAGCTAAAGTCTCTACCCGTCTATTTCGTTGTGGGTTCTCGGAAATGAGCGATACGAAGGGAGCTGCTTGGATTGGGAGTGTCTATGAGACGAAGGGTGGTCTATTGGTTGTTCATACATATCGTGACGTTCGTGGCAAATCGGGTCATCGGATTGTGGGGACTCCCTTAGGCTAGATGAAAAACTCCATAGCCGTATTTCTCTTGATGTAACCACATGACACATTGGGTCATGCACAACAATCCGACAGATTTGCCAGAATATCGACCTCATTCGCGAGACGTGCGAGGATTAGCGGGATTGGTTCGTTCTGGCACGTAAGGATAGCTCTTTTTAAGGTAGTGTGAGAGGAGATATTCCAGACACATGGAGATACACATTATCCTTACTGCAATATTCAAGCACAGGCATAGCTGCGGAAGTGCGTCCCGACAGTATTATTTCCCGGTTGTAAAAGAAAAACTAGACCAAAAATTGCAAATATGGCAGATTAATGCATCTCAAGATAATCTAAATTCCAAAGTATGTGAGTTCCTTAACGTTATTAATGAGCACAGCGTCGAGAATAGTAACTCGATTATTAATTGAAGTATAATGCGCGCATACGAGCCGCTGGGTGAAAGTAGATTTCCCATTAACTCTACTCAAGCCTACCATCCAAGCCCAGGCCTTGCTCAATTTGTGTTCGGGCCAAACCGAAGTAGTAGGGAAAGATTTGGAAAATACAAGCTATGTCGAAGCTGTAGCTTACTGATGAGAAGCCGCTAAGTTGTAAATTTTATTGCCAAAAGTTTAGAACCTGTTTCTCAAAGCCCAATACTCGTCACGTCACGCTATGGTGCAAGAGTTGAAAAGAAACTCATCATAGCCGGAATTTTCTCCCGAATTGTTAGGTACACGATCCGAAATACCGCAGATACTATCAATGTGTTCAAACAAATGATTCATGTCTGGCAGTTTTGGTCACCAGAGCGGCTGAGCAATACTTGGGTGAATCATTACGGTCCGAGGCAAACTCTAAGTAGTCTGGGAGTTTCGGCATCAAGGAAATTGATATCCTAGCCCAATGGGGCATGGGCTATCTTTGCGTCGATGAATCTGGATAATAGAGGCAGTAAGCATGGAAACTGGAAAACTGATACGTTCTAGCTGATAAGTTTCATTCTATGCTTTATTATGAAAATACGAGGAGCAAGCCACAGTTTCATGCCATGAACATGGCTTCCCTCAATCCAACTCAACATTCAGACCAGGGTAGGAGACTTTGAAAGTTCGTTGTCATTATTCATAGCTCATAAACTTGAGTTGCGTCTTTTTGGCGCCGATGAATGATTCAAAAATCGAAGTCGTAATTGCTCTGCGTCTGGAAATGGATACGATTCACTCCTTTTGGATCAGCAAAAACTCGACTGGCCTTGTAATAATTCAAAGTTGATGCTGGGAATTCCTGATGACTCATAAACTGATTTTAGAACGGCCATTGGGCATAACTAATGTTGGGTCTGGAATACAGTTGCCAGTGCCTAACTCCGACAAAAGTGCTAGCTTGTAGAGCAGGAGCAAGGCTCTGATGAACAAATCGTTAGGTTGATGGGGTAGACAGGAAAGTCGCCTATTAAGTATCTCCCCGAGCATGGGCCCGACTGACTGGATAGCACAAAACTTGATAAAATAAGTCAAGCCTGGGTCCTTGTGTCCATAGCCCAATTCCTCCCTCATTTTTGAGCTAAACTTTATTTATATTCACATTGAGCATATGCTCGTATCCCACATGATTTATGGATTAAATGAAATCTGCCGTCGACAGATTGTGTCGCATGGGCTGAGTCTCGCAGGTTACCTGTCCTATTGAGCAATCACCCCACTGTCAGATGACCTGGGATAGATGCGCAATCTCTCACGTCTGCCTTGACTGACCTACAGATGCTACTACTGCGTCATCGTTGTCACACGCCCCATATCCGCGCCTTTGTTCTTTCATTCCTTTCTGCCCTTGCCTCACCCAAGCTCCAACTTTGACTCACCAGTCACGCCAGACAGATTATATATCTGTCAATCCCGCCCATAACCCAAGCATGTCGTCTATTCTGATGACTGAAAGAATCCCAATACTGTAAGCCAATAAAATAACCCAATCGATAAAACCCCCGCCCCTGTACGACCGTTCCCCAACTACATAGCCCAGGCTTCTAAGTTGCCGTTAAACTTACTCTACATAGACAATAAATTTATCATTCCTCCGCAGTGCCAAGTCTAGGTCGTCATTATTCATTAATAAAGGTCTTTGTCCACTACCCTCGTCCTTATAAGACAAAGTAACTCCTTCGCTCGGTGGAATTTTAAGACGTTCGCGGATTTTGTCAGAAAGTTGATCAAATAGAATTTCTCGTGGCACACGAATTGCAATCAAATCATCTCTAAAATATATCTTCACTTTCATTGTTTGTTGTGGGTCGGGTATGGCAGACAGAGTTTCAGCCATAGGTCCAGAATTATGTGGTGGGCCCAACGACGAGTATGAGTATGTGCCACTATTCATGTTTTCTCTGCATGATAATCGGGACGCACTATCAGCGGCAGATTCGCTTGAGGAAGGTTGAGATCCGGCAGATAATCTATATTCTTCGTTTGCTGTTTCGGGATCAATCTCGTAATCCCCCTCCCGTGGTACGAAAAATTCTCGGACTAGCTGACACCTCGAAATGTACGCAGGTTGTGCTAGAAGAGTTTTGACATATGCGTTTAAGTTGATTTGTCTACCTTCCGTTATGGCATCTGTAACATAACTTACCGGGCCAGGCATGTAGGGCAAGGTTCTAGTTTGTTGACCAGTATTTCCTGCTTCTACGGGAAATTCGCTTAAGAGTTGGATTTGGAAATCATAAAAATCTTCATAGTAACGTGATAGTTCCCAGTACTTTCCATCCTCCAACTTAACTTCAACAACGAACCAGTATTTGTCCTCTGCAAAGCAATATCGCGGAATCCTTGCGCTGATTGCAGCTGGAATTGAAGACGCCGGTCTCGAGGCGTAGGAGTCCTTATAGGCTTGGTTGTTTGTTTGTATCTGTTTGTTCTGTTAGAAGTAGAGGTCAGCATGAGCGTTTGCGGGATTTAGAGAACACATACTGGCTCTATTCCATGAGATTTACGTGATTGAAGGCTCATGTTTTCGATGCCTTGCTCCATCTGTTGTTTTTGTTGCGATGCCATAGTATTCACTTCAAATTTTCCCAAGGAGATGCTACTATTCTTGTAATCGGCTGCCATTCTTTTCCATTCTTCAACCTTTGGCACGCGTGCTTTTTGGACGGCCTCCAGGGCATCTGGAACGACTTGACCCGTTACCATATCTCGTATCTCAATAAATGATACAGGAATTAATCCCGGCCCACCGAGTCTTCCAATAGGTTTTGCTACGAACCACTCGGGATTAGATTGAGCTATTACTATAATTGCTTCACCGGCCTTTGCGTCTAGCTCATCTGGCCGCTCTGATACAAAATCATACATTACTATTCCGTACACCATAGCTCCAGAGACTTTGCCCATAGAATTTGAGGTACGAGAAATTTCGGATGGGTTTATGGAGGCACCAAGATGATCAGAGTACCCAGAGTCGTGATCGGGTTGCCTTACAGGCGGAGAAGATTTGTCGGATTGTGTGCTGTCTCTCTCTGTTTTGCCCAGAGATTGGAAGTAGGCCACTGGAACTAGGCCACGAGCATCTGGAACGGCGGGATTGCAAGCTTCGTACCAATTACTATCATTTTCCCTTCCGATGACGTGAAAAAAATCGCCTTTCTGAAAGGAAAGTTCTTCTCTTGACTGCGCTTCATAATCGTATAGTGCTCGAATAACCTAGGTTAAGCTATCAGGCGATGAAAAATGCATTGGCTAAAATTCGCCTACCTTTTTGGGCGGTATGATAGCGATTGCAGATTTTGGTGTGACTGAAATACTTGGCTTTTCGCGATCGGTCTTTAGACTTCGGCGAAGAACCTTTCACAGTCCACATTAGTATGGAGGCGTGGAAAGGTGAGGAGATTGGTCATTTCCAGGCAACAAGGGCATCACTAACCTTCATGTCGTCTTGCTAGTTTCTGGGAATGTGACTATTATTGAAGTGAGACTTGAGGCCAGATTTTGGGACGGGAAGAGTCTCCCCGATGTTGATTAAGCGGGCGAATTCAGACGAAGCTTGTTGTTTGTGCGTAGATGTGAGTGTGTGTGGTTGTGGGATACTTGCGATTTAGGATGATAGGAAGATTGGCTACTAAGCAAATTGGGCAAAAGGATGATTCAGCAGAGTGGAGGCAATGAATTTGGTTAACCCTTGTTGGGGGTCGCGCGGGCTGCCTGTAAACTGGGTGGGATCTGTGAGGATACGGCATGACAACCTCGCGGGAGCGGCCTGGTCACACTAACGGACTTTCTTCTGGTTACTCCTAGTTGTCCAATGACTAAGCCCCTATACATGACCAACTTGATTCCGGATGAGTTTAATTGGTTGGCTTGCGACATAGACCGAATAAAAACATTACTACTTCATGGTTGGCATTTGCCATCTCCCGCGGCGCCAGCAATAAGTCTCAAACGTCTCCCTAGACGCCGAGAACATTCTATCAGCTTTTAAGGCCTTACCCCCCAACAGTCACAACTTTAAGTTCCTAGTGTAAGGGTTTCGCCGTAGGCTAGACTGCCCAGAATATTTGATCACCTGCACTGTTGAGGGGAGGTAAAGAACCTGGAGTCACACGGTCCCTGCCCTGCGAAGGACAAATCAAGCTTGAATCACTCGGCGTGAAGTCAATTTCTACCGACTAGGTGTACGAAATTCTTTGACCTATGAAAATCTAATGTGTTGCGGCGGGTGTTTTATCATTTGCCGGCAACGCTCAGGGGGATGCTCTAGATTTAATGTCGCTGTACGAGCGACGTATAGTGGGACCGCTGCATTGCCTAGCCAACAATGTGTGGAGACGTACGACAAAGGATTTCTTGGTGCGACTAGCTGGCTTGAAGCCGAATGTGTACCTTTTTGCAGCAGCAAGAGACCCTGAATGAGTGATGGATTGTGGCGCCAATGACCTCGGCCCCTGAATGACGACACTGTATGTTAGACAAAGGGCTATGCCATTTGGACATCATGGGGTCCTCCGGAATGCTGTACGTGACGTGTTTCAACGCTCATCAACAGCAGATGAACAGCATTATTCTAACCAGTAAGGTCTCGTACATTCCACAAACGTCAAAGTAAATGTCATTGACTATTCCTTCTATTTAGGATATGTAGTACTCAGCGACATCTTTAAGACCTCAATACAGTCGACAGAACTAATAAAATGCACAATAACGTACAGGTTTATGTGGCTACGATGAGCATTATGTATAATTTCGTATTACTAAGTGTCGAAATTTAGACCCTGAACGTTGCTCGATAACTCTTTACTCGGCCCGGTATCTAGGCGTAGGATGAGGGGAGTGATGCGCGGGGCCTTTTTTGTATAAGGCTAATACCAGTGTCACGAAGGGTACCCTACGTGGAAGTCTATCACCCATTTTTAAAATATGGCCAGGAATTACTTGAAATTCTCATCCTTTCAGTTCAAGCCGCAAGTTCAAGGGTCTTGAGCCTCACAATCAATGAATCCACACAGTAGGTGTCGCAGATAAACTGGAACTTTTTTCTCCATTGCGTTCTGTCTAATCCGACTCGCGCATCGTTCCCTGAACTGGTCGTTTGAGACGCGCTGCGACAACGAGCACTCTCTTTTTTGCTGGATCTAACGTCGTATTTACGAGTTCTTGGAGCCTTTACACGCGTCCCATGTTATTGTCGTTCATGTGATCACCCTGAAACGATGAGATGGAATTTTCTGACAGACGTGGTGATGGGATAACGTATGCTCACTTCCACACGCGAGAAATGATCTTGGGAGATCATTACTTAGAATTCCTGGAGAAGGCGACGTTCACAGAGCTGGAACTTGTACAAACTTGCAGAAAGGCGAATCCCATCTCATGCCTGACATGGGTGGCAAGGAATATGCTTGTGTTCGGATCGCTGTTCAAGGGCAGCGTTAGACAAAATATTATTTCCATCTGAAACAGGGGGGCTGAGTTAAGCATGAGCAAGACATAAGACCGATGTGCTTCCCTGTAGTGTCTGTACACAAGAATAATTCTTGTTGCGTGGCACAAGTTTACCCCGTCAATGCACAATTAATACAAGTAGCCTTCAGCTTGCAGGAAATCATCCATCGAATTGTAAAAGAGCACGGTGTTTGTATACTCGATTCTAGCAGGCAACCCCATCATCGGGCAGCATATAGCGTGCGATCCGAACGCGATCTCGCCACAGCTTGTCCCATTCAAACCCGACCTTCGTCCGTGCGAGTCAGCCGCCCCATCCAGACCTCGTCTAGCAACGATAACAGCCCCGTTCCGCGACTACCCGTCCCTGCAGACATTATCCCGCCCGGGCCCGATCCATCTGAGGCCGCCGGCGCTAATTGTTGTGGCCGCATCACCGGCTTTCGCTTGAGGTTTAATACTGGTACGGCCTCTCACGGAGGTCGGTGCGGTTGGTGCTTGCAGCGGTACACCTTCAGAGAAAAATACATATATATATAATCAAAAATCTTCAATTAATCCTTTAATTTATACACCGACTTTTTGGAAGGCATGTATGAAATGTAGAATGACTCACTGAGACGTTCTTACCACTCACAACAAGATTTAATTTGTAGATATCGCTAAAGGTCGTCTGTTGCGATGTACAATCTCTTCCGTGCATACCCACCACGGGGAGATTCGTAAAAACCCCGCGGTCAAGCGAGTGTGCATTTGTCAACCAACAAATACGATATCTCCGCGAGAGAGTGTGGTATGTAGTTCTTACTGGAACCAACCAGTATCTTCTGTCTTAAGGTGGAGTATTCTCGACAACTGTACGCGGTGCCTTCTACGAGCCTGGGAGTAAAATATTTTCCCAGAGCCAAGTTCAGTCAAGTTTCGTAATACCAAAGAAGTTGGCCCACGAGGTAATAATTCAAGACTCTCTACGAAATCAAACTCTCCCACCCAACGAGTTCGGCTCATACAAAAGCCTCATCAAGTCTACAAGTACGACCTAGCACATCCTCATCCCAATGACCACACCTCTTTTCGACTTTCTCTAGCCTCACCTGGTCGCCAAATACACGCCCACGCCGATATTTACACCCGACGGAGGAAACAAAGCGTGGCGCATAAATCTGGAAGCGGTTATTCGAGATGGACGTGAGAGGGATGAGGACAGGTTGATAAGATGATGCAGATATAGATACATTCTCGACGGGCGTGAAATCTGAATTTTGGCAAGGAGTTTTTACAAATTGAGCTTTGTGCGTGCCAAGTCTTCGGTTGCGAGAGTGCAGGTGACACTATAAACACTGCCATGGCTGGATGGTGCAGTGGCACATCATCTGGGACGATCTCCCAAGTAAGTTCTGGATAGCTAGAACACATAATCCACTCGAGACAGTAGATCGCTGGTTCAAATCCGGCAAAACAAAACCAGTTTTCTCGCGGTGCTGGTATGCATGGATGACGAAGGCGTGCTTGGATAATCAAAGGTTTTGAAACGTCTCTTTGGTGGGTGCTCACGGAGGAGGGTCGACTGTTTGTGTAAGCGAACATACTTCATAGTGGTATTTACGAATGAAATTCAGAGTATGAGCGTCTCTAACGTCAGAAGAGTCATCCTATACGTATACATAGCACCGGTCATGTGTCACAGTTCAATATATATATATACTACATCAGCTTATCCTCACTTCCCCAGTCTCTTAATAACTCAACCGAGCTAGCACAGTAGAATCATTATTTTCATACGCTGGATATTGGGGTCTGTTTGTGTGTGAGATTTCGTTAATTTTTCGCCGGATCGATTGGTGTTGGTATTCGGCAGAGCAAGTCCAGAATAAAATCAGCTAATTGCCAAAGCCTACATACTAATGGCCTACTACATCTTGCTATTTGTATGAGGAATTGTAATTAACGCCGCCGATCATAACAGTCTCCATTACTGTGCAACTGGTTTCCAATTTATACACTTTTTTCATGACTTAAAACATTTGATAATCGACTTTGAACTTGATCGTCGACTTTGTTTATTGGTCTGTTATCACAGACACGGAAATAGATTCATGAGATTGCTTTATGAGAGGCTAGGATTAATTCCGATGTAATTTGTTTGGAGACTTGTCCTCAAATTTAGAGGCTACAATGTCTTTATATATCTACGTATTTACCCCCATATTCACCATATCCGCTAGCCCTTCTATATCTAGCGTGCATAGCCTGATTTATCTCATGGTTCTGGGATGGAGCTGTAGTTTCCGAATAGCAGTATTCTTTTAGCTACTACAATACGTAGCAGCTTCAGATATAGTTTACTGTGCGATACTTTCACCTTAGCTACATGCCTCCTTGATATACTGCCGGCTCGGTAATCAGTGAGATAACCGAAGCTAAACCTTAACAATAACCTTAATTACGAAACCATGAATACCTAAGACAGAAGCCTGCAATCTAACACAATTAGGTTAGGAATTGTCAACTACCACCTAATCCAAACATTTGATGTGCGTGCAGTTGATGATCTATGTGAGAAGAAAGCTACCAAATATTCACTGACGGCAAACCAAGCCTGCAGATAATTATAGAAAAGACTAACTATCTAGCCTATCAAATCCGGAACAGAGCTAAGAATTGTATCCTTAATATAGATCGGTGCCCAGCTCATTTGGGAATAGAGGATAATAAGCTTGCAGATTCATTAGCCAAAGCTGCAACAAACAAAGAGGCTTTCAAGAGAGACTTATTCACCTGACATTCATATCTAAAACAGAGTAATAAAGAATTCATTGTCAAATAATGGCAAAAATACTTGGAAATAGAATTTATCGGGGAAGAGGAAGGTAGAAAATGCAGAGGGCTCAGCAAGTATTACAGGACCCAAGCTCAATAGCAGACACCATATTTTTCCCTAAAGCCATTTAACTTCCAGATTCACACGAGATTAGATGGATCAGGATATTT